CACTCACCTCAGCCTCCCAAAGGCGCGGGATTACAGGCTGAGCCACCGAGCCCAGCTCATTTTGTTTTCAAAGTATATAGTTGTCCTTAAACTTTTAGGACTTGTAGGTGGCATTAATAAAAGAAGTTTAAGGACAACTGCATACTGTTTTGTTTTTTTTTTAAGCATTCCTCCAATCAAGACAAATGTGAATTTAAAAGAAAAAAATAAAAGTTAAAAAAAAAAAGCATTCCTTCCAGCAAACTGAGATATGCTTTTGTCTTGCCAAGTTTCCTGTCTTCTGCCACTCAGAATTTTAAATCATTCTTTAATCAAGCCTGTCAGGAATAAGTAACAGGAAGTCTTCTTTAATGCTTTCTCCTCCATCCAGTCACCATCTCAATACTTAAAATTTATTATTGAATGTGTCCATTATTCTTATAATTTCTTACTGTGGTTGAGATGTCTGCTTATCTAGATCTGTGTACCTTCTTTGTTATTATCTATTTGAAAGTATGTTAAATATCTGTTTCAAAGTGTTTTACTGCTATTTATTCTGGAACACAGTTGATATAATTGTTAATTTGGTACAGTCTTTTTAGAGGGCAGTTTACGGCACTATATATCAAACACTTAAAAGTGTTTAAACTTTTTAACCAGTAATTACATTTTCAGGAATTTAATATGATACTGTTTATGCATATGTAATAACTTTGAAAGAAATATATGTTAGTTGGCAGAAAGCACATTACTAAATAGTTTGCATGATGTAATTCCCAATATTGTGAAAAAAGAAATACACACATGCACATAAGATTAGAAGACTCTACACCAAGAGGTGACCTCGGGCCTCACTGGAGATTTTATTATTTTCTAAACAATTTCTACAGTAAAGAGACCTGGTATTTGAAATACTTTTTAGAAAAACAATTTGTTAATACCTACCACCCAAAAGTCAAAGTGACTAGAACTTGAAGACCACAGCTAATGAATGGGCTTAGTTAGCACAATGCCTTGGCAAAACCAACAAAACAAACCAAGAAGGAATGCCCCTTCCAGCCTCAGTGAATGCTCTTGATAATGATTTACGAAGTCATTGCAATATAGATTGTGATTAGATTTTGAAGCAGAATCTTTTCACATGACAGGGCTGTTATCCTAGTGGCCCACAGCACTGGTTTTAGTTTTATACCAAGAGGGAAAAATCAATGTCAGACTTTATGGCTAAAGTCCCCTTGACAAGAAATAACAAAACTGCTGTTCATTTTGTTTATCCTAAAAGTCTTCAACAAGTAATGATTAAAAGTTCTGAGAGTAATTGTTTCTCTTCTATGCTGTGTAGATCTCCAGACCACACTAAGTTTGTGGGAAGTTTCAAAACCAAACAAGACTTCATAGATTTGATTGAAGTAATCTATCGAGGAGCAATGAGGGGAAAACTTATTGTCCAAAGTCCTATTGATCCCAAGAATATTCCCAAGTATGACCTTCTTTATCAAGACATTTAGCGCATTAACTGCTGTCAAAGATGGAGAGAAAGGCACACCTTGAAACAGTACCTGAACCCAGCTGTGCTGTTTTCCTGGAGTTCTTCAGAAACGAGCTCAGTGTCCCAATGGAGAAGAGGATGGCTTGCATGTAAAATCTGCAGCCCCTGAGGAGAAGACCACAGTGGGACTCTGATTGAACTGGAATGCCTAAGTGTCTACTCCCTGCCAGCCTCAGAGCAGTCAGGTTAATGGTGTTCAGTTTTCCCAGGACAATTTTTTAAACTTCTCTTTTTAAGTGCTTTTCTTTATCCCTTAAGATAAAACAGAATTCTCCCAAACATGGCTGGTGCAGTTAGATTTGACCATGTTTATTTGAGACACAAGTAAAATGCAAAGTCAGTTCCCATAGGAGCAAAAATACTTTCTTCCCTAGATGTGCACATACACACCCTTCACCCATTCCTTACTCATATATCCTCATGCTCTCCTACTTCCAGTCCTTTTTACCCCAGTTCCTCTGGGAATAATTGATTCTTCACTTACAGCAGGCCAGTTTGTTTTATTCTGGAGCCTTTCTGGCTCTGACTTTTAAAACACTATCCTAGTTGGCTCATTTAACTAGCTTTTATGTTATTGAATTGAACATAAAAAGTGAGAACTTGAACCTTCACCATCCGGCACTCCATGTAAGCGAAGCAAAGAATGAACTCTCCTTGGTAAGCAGGAGCAGCTCTCTCCCAGAAGGTGCCGCCTCTTCCTGAGGCAGAAAATAGTATTTCTAGGGCCCCAAACTGAAAGAGATGTCATAATTGCTAGAAAGAAATGTCACCTTTATGGGCTTTGCCTGTTTTAATGACTTTGTGAGGAATTCTTGCTTTTCCAGGGTCCCCTGGCACAACCTTGGGCAAGTTACTGCTCTTCTTCAAATCTTGTGGCACCTATTGGCATTGACTTTCCAGAATGAGAGCATGGATGCAGAGCTGCAGTGGGCCGGGCAGCTGGGCCCCCTTCAGGGCAGCACTGTCACTGCAAGTCCAGCCCCTTCTGCCAGGTGCTCTCCACGCCTCTTCTGAAGAGAGGCATGCCACGAGAACTGGTTCTGGCTGGTCTAGCATAGGGGAAGGCTGCTGGGCAGTGCTTGTGTCCTCCACTGATAAAGGAGAGAGCCACCTCAGAAATAAGACAAAACAAAAGGAAAGGAGAAGACCACCAATTCTGTCTTCTCTCCCCACTTCCTGTTTTTTATTTCATTCCTGATTTGTGGAGCTACAGTAGCCATCTTAGAACCATGTGGCGACCAGCATCAGGATGAAAAATCAATATACTAAGAAGAATGATGAAAAGCCCCTGATCCCTGCAGATGTTACTGAGTGAACTCTAGGGCTGCCTCCCTCTAGACTTCTGTGAAGGAATAAAATATCTTCATTGCCTAAAACATGGCCATTCGGGTTTTCTGTTCCTCAGCCCTAATCACACAGGATTAGATGTGAGTGTTCAGATACCAGCCAACCCTCAGAACTTGTACACATATAATTCTTTTATCTTCTTTCCTGCTGAGGGCCTCAGGGACTTTTTCTCTGAAGTCCTGATTCATGTTTTTGATCCTGTCTTAGTTGCTTTCCATCCCACAAGTATTTATTGAGTACATGCTGCATGTCTCCATCCTGTGCTAGGTGTCGCATAATACAAATGACTCCTGAACAGCAGAAGAGGTTCTTGGAGGAGGCAATGCCTGCATCTTAAAGGAGAGTAGAAGGTACTCGTGCAAAAGGAGAAGAATATTTCAGCAGCCAGCTCCCAAGGAAAAGGCCCAGGGACAAAAGATAGCAGAGTCTATTTGGAGAGAAACCCAGGGTTCAGCGTTGCTGAACCCAGAGGCAGAGGCCAGGATAATAGGATGTATTGCTGGAAAGGAAGGCAGAGTAGATGAGTGATAGAAAATGCTGGAGGTTTTCTCTTATTATTATTTTCCTCCTGAGTAGTGACCAGAAGCCACTTAATACAATCAGATAATTCTTCAAGAAAACTGAGTTGTTTATTCTTCAAGAAAACTTAGTGCTGAGGATACTACCAGAAGAAAAAGGTATAACTGACTGTATTCTAGAGACATTTGTAAGTGTTTGACTATAATTTTCTAGTTTCTGGCTATTATCTGTTTCAAAGTTCTAAAATATAAATCTGTCTCTTCACTGGTCCACCAGCTGTAACCTGTTGAGATGTATTGATGGATCTGGAGGATGCATGTAAGGAGAACTTCACAGTGATGGCCAGACCCTGGAGAGAGATAGTGACATCAGTGGCATTTTATACACTGAGAAGGAGGGAGCCGTATTGTGGCAGGAGAAGTTGTGTTGGTGAGGGGCAGCACACTGAAGGCTTATAGCAAGAAAGAGTTCAGTTAGAAGAGCTTCCTGTTTACAAGAGTTCCGGAATCTTTCTTCTGGGAGACCCTTAATAGCATGGCCTATCTTTGAAAGATAAAGTCAGATGGATTCCTAGTGAAGGGTGGGTTTGTTCCAAGTAGGAAAATCATCTCCTACTGAGACAGAAACTCCTACCTCCTGATCCTTTACAGAGTCCCAGAACGTTATTGCTGCTGGGACATTAGAGATCGCCTGGTTTAAGCCCTTCATGGAAGAGACCGGGAACTGATTGCCAGGAAGTTAAAGAACTAAGCAAATGTATGGGCCAAGCTATGATTTGGACACATCAAGTCCAGAGTTCCTGCCTTTACACCATCTTTTGTTTTCTGGAGTGCTGGTGAATTCAAGTACAAACTACAAGGTACTGTCTGTCAAAACATTTTTTTTCCATCCCATTTTGGGCTAGCATCTTCCTCACCAGGACTCTACCATTTCTCCTAATTCACTTTGAAGAGGCAACAGGATATAGTGAAAAGAGCTCAGAGTGTATTCAAACAGACCTAGGCTCAAGGCTCAGCTCCACTATTTAATAGCTGTGTGTAACCTTAAGCAAATAAATTTCTCTGGGTCTCTGTTTCCTTGTCTGTGAAACAAGGACAGTTCCCTTTCTGAGACCAGGCATTCAATAGGCATTCGTTCAGTGAGCATGATTCCCTAAGGTGGAACAGTTTGTATTGCTTAGGAATTTCCAGTTGGCTTGGGGTGTTTTCTGCCAAATACCCAGTAGGCTCTATACCCCTTGGTTCCCCCGGACTATAAATGAGAGAATTTATAAAGTGCCCAGGACAGAACACAACACAGAAATGAGTCAAACAAAGCTCTTTATTAATTGACTCAGCAACACAGGGCTGGTACCCATCAGCTTCATACCATGTCTTATCCCATCTACTTTTCTCAATTCCAGGGCAAAACCTTGCTTTCAGCCAAGGGGGTCTGGCCAGGCTCTCATTAGTTGTCGGCTATGGTCTGCTGAACCCAGTCCAGGATAGAGGACACTTTCACATACACACCATACTCAGCCACAGCACAGCTCTTATCAAAGCTCAGGATTCCTGCTGCATACCAGGTGTCCTTCTCCAGGTCGTGAATGGCAAAGGCACTGCCAGCATCCCCATAGCAGGTGTCTTCCTGATACTTGGACATGCCGGCACAGAAGGTGTGTTCATTCAGTATGGGCTGCACCCCAACAGGGCTCTTTGGTGTCTTCTTTTCGAGCACTGTACTGCCTTCATAGTGCTTCACACAATTGGTCTGGTCTGCCACAGGCAGCATGACATACTTCAAATGCTCAGTAAATTGGAAGTTGGCATTGCGCCCCCAGCCAGACACATAACCCACACGCCCCACCTCTGCATAATCATTTGAAGGCAAGCAGATGGGCATCACCCTCTCATTAACAGGCACCTTCTGTTTGAGTTTGATGAGCCCAATATCTACCTCGGAGTAGTTAGGATAGAAAACCACCTTCTCAATCTCCACGAGCTGATTTCTCCCCACATAGAGTGTTAATGTGGGGGCAATGTCTTTTGCTGTTGCATTTTCTGTGTGATTCAGGAAGAGATTTTTAGCCGTGGTCAACAGCCATTGTTCGCTGATCAGTGTGGCCCCTGTGATGAGATTGTGGCGAGACACCATCTTAGCCTGCCAGGGAAAGCTGCCTTTGGCATCCAGAGATCCACCCAGGATGCGCTGCACCTGGTCCACCGGGTTCTTAGGCTTTCCGCATACTGTCAAGAGAGCAAGAACCTCGTGAGCAGAAATGAGAGAGTCTCATCTGGGAAAGAGGGACCAAAGCATTGGCTATTGCTGCTGGTTAAGCTATCGCTCTTTTTCTTCGGAGCTCGGGAGATTTCATCGCTGTACCCTTACTACCTGCTCATCTCATTTCCAGTATTTACAGTTCAAAATAATTCCATTTCTGACTTGTCAGACTGCTTTGGAGAAAAAAATTAAATACATAAAATTAAATAATTTTTATTGTTTATATCACAAAGCAGAGTTCTATTTCCTGCTTATCTGACTCACAGAAGAAGTGATACAGACACTTTTTGGAAGGCTAAGGTGGAAGGATCACCTGAGCCCAGGAGGTCAAAGCTGCAGTGGCTATGAGGGTGCCACTGCACTCCAGCCCAGATGACAGAGTGAGACTCTGACTCAAAAAAGAAAAAAAAAAAAGAATTAGCACTTTTTTGAATGCAGGCTGGAGAGCGGTATTATATTAAAACAATTTATCACAGCAAAGGAATTCCCTGAAATTCAATGAAAGGGCTAGAAGCTATAATAATTCATTCCCTCTGAATGAAGAGGGGACTGTGGTATCATGGCTGGAACCCATATTTTATGGCTTTGCCATTACTACAGGGCAGGTTGACAGTTCCATACCACTGATGGCCGAAGAAGCCATCCAAAGCTCTTGCTCCAAGCGGGAAGAGGAGAGAGCACAGCTCTTGCTAATAAGAAGTCCCAGCCCCTCTGCAGCCTTTCCTTATACTTCCATGGATCAAGATCTTATGTCCTCCCTTGACTTGTTCTTCTTGGAGCTTGCTTAGCCTTTGACCCAGGGCTCTCTAGACAGGCTGTCTGTATGCATAGGGTCTCCTGATCTGGGATCAGTGTAGACAGTGGATTCGGCCAGTGCCCTTCAAGCCCCGATGAACAAGACCTTTGGTGAACTCTGTCCAGGAGCCATCACCTAACTGCTCAAGTTTCTGCCTGACCAACTGTGGTTCTCCATGACCCCTCCTCCTGGATCTTGTTTGCTCAAAGGAAGCCACACAGGAGGGGTGTGCTTCTGAGACATTCCTACCCCAATGCCTGCCTGCATGCTAAACCCTCAGCACTCACCTGCTTCACATTCAGGAAGTTTCTCTCCAACGGCCTTATTTGTCCACTGCTTCTCACTGTTTAGGGTGTACACTCCTAAAACAAAAGGAAATACATGAGCCAAAAGAGAAATCAAGTCTGGACCTAGCATGGAGTGAGAAGGTATTTAAAAGAGAAGAATTAAAAAGAAGAAGAGAAAGAGTGGGGGAGGGAGAGGGGAGGAGGAAAGAGAAGAGTTTGTGGCAGGAGAAGAAAAGGGAGGAGCGCTGTGCTGTAAACCAAGCGCCAGGGTGCCAGTAAGCCCAGCAGAATAGACTGATCATGGCCACCACAACCAGATAGTACAGGTAGGGCTCAGGGTTCAATCCTGACTCTACCTCTTACAGGCTGCCAGAACTTGGGCAAGACAGTCAGCCTGTCTGTGTTTGTTTTCTCATCAGCAAAATGAGAATCATGATCTTTCTTCAGAGGGGTACTGTGAGGAATACATGATCAAATAAATAGCACTGAGAACAGTGCCAAGCACATAGAACTCACTAGGCAAGAGTTACCTATTGTCATCATTGTTCTTTATATCTGTTGTGGGTGTAGCTCTGACTCTGAGGTAGGTTGGCTACATGGCAGTGCCTTCTCTTAACAAAAGAGAAAAGTTAAGGTAAGGAAAGTTCATTTGCCCAAAGAGCACAGCTACTGGTGACAAAATCCTTGACAGAGTCTAAATCTCCTGGCTCCGGGGAGAATACATAAACTTTCTGGCCAATCATCCTGGCACCATCCAACATGGAAATGTCAGGGCGAAGGTGTGTAGGGCACAGAGACACCTGTCCAGGTCTTACCATCTCCTTCAGTGCGCAGTTTGTAGTACTTCTTACACTGGTAGCGAACTGAGTGCTCCACATAGCCATTTGCAACCTCAGGGGGCTTAGGGCAACTGTCGTCTGCAAAGAAAGAAAAGCCAGAAGAGGTTAATATTTGGAAATTGCTCCCAGAGACCTATGAAAACTCGGATGAGAGGATGCTGCTCTGCACACCAACCTCCTTCCACCCCAAATGGAAGCCAAGGGAAGTGCAACTGCCCCTTATTTCTGGAAGGATCCCCAATATTCTTTGTAATATTGAAAGCCCAGAGATCAGGATGGGAAGAGGGAAGTGGCACAGCCCCCACCCGAACCCAAAGACATACCTGCGGTATCCGTGACGTCATTGCCTGAGTTTACTGCCAAAAGCTGTCCCCAGAGCAGGAGGGCAACGACAGCTCCCAGGGCTCTGCGGAAAGGAGACGGGAAGGAGTACAGAGCTGGACTTCTTGCTTCACGGCACGTGCACACATGCACAGGCACACTCCTCTCCCATTAAACAGCCAGAAAATAAAATAGATATATGGAAGTGCTAGGACCAAGGAGTTTCCCCTACCACCTACAGACACACTTTAGCAGCTTCTGAGCACACCAAGCTTCCAGCAAGCTCTGTCCTGTTTGAGATTCTGCATATGCTTCAGAGAGGGGTCACCAAGACAAGGAGGCACACAGGTGCCTTTAGTTTCTGGCTGTTTTCTAGAAACATTAAATTGGCAATAACATGTGTACTCTCCAGCCAAGAGAACCTTCCCTCGGGGACACAAAGATATGCTAATAAGATGTAGATAACTTGAAGATGGGAACATGGGGGCTTACCATGCTAGTTTCTCTACTTCTCAACATTTTCCATAATAAAAGTTTTCTTAAATATATAATTTTAAACACATGGTTGTTTTTATTATTTTATGATAATTTCTCCCTAGGAAATAGTATTCAAACCCCCAGATACCAGAAGGTTACCTAGAAGAGAACTGGGTCCTGAAAACAGGACTGTGGTCACGGGTGTCCTGCACAGGCCCTACCGAGCAGTTAAGCAGTTAACCATCTCACTGTCAGACGTCTTCATGGACAGACATCTTCAGGGATTGCTTCCTTATACTAAGTTTCTAGTCTTGTTATTTCAACATTTCAAAAGGACTTTTTATTTTGATAAGGTCTAAGTGCTTTCATTGTGTCATTCCAATGTGGCACTATTGGTCTTTCTTACTGTGTTGCTCTAGGCTAAATTCCTGACCTCAAGCAATCTTCCTGCCTCCGCCTCCCAAAGTGCCGGGATTATAGGTGTGTGCCACTGCACCTGGCCCTTAGCATACAACTTTGAAAAGGAAAAAAAATCAGCTAATACATATTTTCAAAATGCCAGAAATCCTACCACGGGAGCTGCTGACATCCCCTGCAAACACAAAAACTTTGTAACCTCAAGGAAAATGACACTCCTTAGAGTAAATCACATCTCCTGAAAAGACTGTATGGTCTGAAAGCTCTGTCTTTTATGGATGCAGAAAAGGAGAGGAATTAACACACTGAGCCCTTTAGTTCACTCTACTTTATTCCACTTGCCCTGTTTCTTTTTTATATTTTTGCACCTCTGCTGTTGTACGCAAAGAAGAATGAAATGAACAGAGAAAAGGGAGGAAGGAAAGGTGCACCCACCTCATCATGACCTGTGTCGCCTCTGGAGGAGCAGTGCTGTGGGGGTACCTGCTGGTCTTTTTATGCCGCCACTACCTCACCTCTCCCCCTCCGCAATTTTGTAATTCCTGTGTCTACACAACTTTGGCCTTGTTAAGGTCACTGGCATGTTCCTGTAACAACCACAAACAACACCTCTGTCAAGAGTTGAGCTCTTGCTTCACATTTGATTTTCTCATGGTGTTCTTTTACAAGCCCCGAAGAAACCTGGCAACACCATGACCCATGTGCCTGCCAAAGTGCTTCCCGAAATCAGCAACAGGGCAGGTCGGGGCTGGGGGAGGAACCAATCTGTCTCTTTATTTTGGAGTATTGCCACACTGAAAAAGGCCTTACTTTGAGTTGTTTCAAACCACTTATAGGTACTCCTGCAACTTAGATGGGGCCCTATAGAAAGTACTTCCTTTTCACAATAATTTTCCCCACCTTGTGTGTGGTCATCTCCCGGTTGCTTCAGTGCTCTCCAGCCTGAAATCAGTAAAATGTGCTCATTGTGTCTTCACTGATTGCTCTTTGCCAGAAATCAGACAAAACAGTTACAAAAACGTATACAAAAGCTGTAGTGTAGACTCAAACAGACTTCTCAGTGGCAGTGGATCTCATGGTTGTACGATCTGGCAGTCAGTCCAAACAGGTAGATGAAAAAAACCAATATGTTTCAATCAAATGTCTGTACATGTATGTATCCCAGGTATTGTTCAATTGAGATTTATTAACAACTCAATAAAAGATTGCTTTATTCATTTAAAAAAAGGTTAGTGGCTCTTAAAATAGAGTATACAAAAGAATCACTTTGAGATATTCATGATGGCACTGATACAATTGCAAAATAACTGGAAAGAACACAAGTGTCCTTCAATAGGAGGATGGGCAAATAATGTGTGTATAGTCACATAATGGACTATTATACAGCATAAAATGAATGTGCAAGAAAAGAATAATCTTATAAACATAATTTTGAAAGAAAACCACAAGTTTCAGAAGATTATATTCAGTATGATGCCACTCTTTTTTTTTTTTTAAATTAGAGATGAGGTCTTGCTATGTTGCCCAGGCTGGTGTGGGCTCAAGCAATCCTCCTACCTCAGCCTCCCAAAGTGTGGGGATTACAGTCATGAACCACCGCACCAAGCTGATACCATTCTTATACAGCTTAAAACCAGGTAAAACTGCCGAGCTCGGTGGCTCAGCCTGTAATCCTGCGCCTTGGGAGGCTGAGGTGAGTGGATTGCCTGAGCCCGCGGGTTCAAGATCCACCTGGGCAACTTGGTGAGACCTCGTCTCTACAATAAATCAAAAATTAGCCGGGCGTGGTAGCGCACACCTGTAGTTCCGGTTACTTGAAATGCTGAGGCGGAAGGATCGCCGGAGCCCAGCAGGTTGAGGCTGCGGTGACTGGGAACATGCCACTGCACTCCAGTCTGGGCGATGGAGCAAGACTCCAACTCAAAATAAAAATTAAAATTAAAAATAAAAATAAACCAGGTAAAACTAATTGGTGTCATTCTTCGATATGCACCAAAACCACAAACAATAAAATAAAAATTAGATAAACTGGGCTTCATCAAAAGACAATGTCAAGAAAGTGAAAAGACAATCCACAAAATGGGAAAAATTATTTGCAAGTCATGTATCTGTTAAAGGTTTAGCATCCAGATTATATAAAGAACTTCTACAACAACAATACAAAGATAAATTACTGAATTAAAACATGGGCATTTGAATAGATATTTCTCCAAAAAAAGATATGTAAATGGTCAAAAAGCACATGAAAAGAAGTCCAACACCATTGGAAGATGTCAATAGGGAAATGCAAATCAAAACCACAATGAGATATCACTTCACACCTTCTAGGATGACTGTTAAAAATTATGTATAAACATATATATATATATAGCAAGTGCTGGCAAGGATGTGGAAAAATTAGAACCCTGGTACATTGCTGGTGAGAGTGTAAAATGGTGCCACAGCTGTGGAGAAGAGTTTGATGGTTTCTCAAAAAGCTGAGCATAGAATTGCCATCAGACCCAGAAATTCCACTTCTAAGCATATTCCCAAAAGAATTATAGTCAGAGACTCAGAGCACCTGTGGTCACAGCAGCATTTTTCACAATAGCTAAAAGGTGGAAGCAATCCAAGCATCCATCAACAAACAAAACATGGTTGATTGATATATATGAATATCATTCACCTATAAAGAGAAAAGAAGTTGATACATGTTACAACATGAGTAAACCTTGAAAATATGCTAAGTGAAGGAAGCCAGACACAAAAGGACAAATATTATATTATTCCACTTATAGAAAATATCAAGTATAGGCAAATTTATACAGACAAAAAGTAGGTTAGAGATTACTAGGGGCTGGGAGAAGAGAGAAATGGGAAGTTATTGCTTAATGAGTACAGAGTTTCTGTTTGGCTGATGGAAAAGTTTTAAAAAGATAGTTATTGCTTAATGAGTACAGAGTTTCTGTTTGGCTGATGGAAAAGTTTTAAAAAGATAGTGATGGTGATCGCACAACATTGCTAATGTAATTAATGCTGCTGAATTGTAACTTAAAATGGTTAAAATCAGAAAATGTATGTTAGGTATATTTTATCACAATAAAAATTCAAAAATAAGTAAATAAGCTGCTTTTTTTAGAGCTAAAAAAAGCAAGCAAAACTCAGCAATATATTCTATAGACATAGATACTAATGAGACAAAAACTATATTTTTAAATTTTTAGTGGAGTGGAAAACACAAAATGTAAACAGTCACATATCATGGGGGGTAGGAGGGAAGGCATAAGGGAAAACCACATAGGTAAATGTAAAGAAATTATTTTAATAATCCATCTTTTGGACTGGGTGGTAGCTTCATGAATGTGCATTATATTATTATGCTTTATTTTTTAAAAGACATATTGACCACACACATATATATATCACATATAATATTTTGTAAGTACCAAACAACAAGTTTAAAATATGAGGGGGGATCACTTGAAGGGCATACTTTGAGGCCTCTTTTCCATCGATTTGGTTCAATAAGTCTGCATGGAGACCTGAGAATCTGCATTTCAGATGTCCGTGTCTTCTCCTCTTCCCTATATGCATACTGCAATAGACTGCAACTCTTCCATTCATAAGGGAAAGCCTATTTTCCACCCCTTGAATCTGGGTTTGCCTCTGTGACTATTGTTAAATAGTAGTGAACATAATGTAAGGATAGGCTTGAAGTGTGCATGGGAATTAGGGCTTGTCTCCTTTTACTGCACCCGGAATCCAGGGACTGCCCTGTGAAAGAGCACAAGCTATTCCTCCATTACAGAATGAAAGTCCCATAGAGAACCCAGGCATCCCAGCTGACAGCCAGCCCCAGTTTCCCAGAAGCCCTCCACAGATGCAGGAGGATCGCTTGAGCCCAGGAGTTTGAGACCAGCCAGGACAACATAGTGAGACCTTGTCTCTACAAAAAATTTTTTTTTAAATTAGCCGGGCAAGGTGATGCGTGCCTGTAGTTCTGCTACTTGGGAGGCTGAGGCAGAAGGCCCACCTGAGCCCAGGAGGTCAAGGCTGCAGTGAGCCGTGATCATGCCACTTCACTCCAGCCTGGAGTGAGTGACCCCAACTCAAAACTAAATAAATAAATAAAATAAACTTGTATATTGATAAACAGAAGTATAGAAGTTCTTTATTTTAATAAGTCCTAGTTTATCAGTTTTTTAAATTTATAGTTAGTGCTTTCTATGTTCTGATTAAGCAATCTTTGCCTACTTCGCAGCAACTTGGATGAATTTAGAGTCGATCATACTCAGTGATCTATCACAGAAACAAAGAACAGAGTACCATATGTTCCTAAACTCATAAGCAGACCTTGAATAATTATCATAATACTATAAGAAAGGGATTGGCAGTAGTGGGAGACTGTCAGGGGAGGGGGTGGTATTGACAGTTGAGGGAAACTGCTAGGGGAAGGAGGGGCACACCTCATCAACAAGGGTACCTACATAATCAGTGTTTGTATACCTAACCCTGAATACCTACCCCACATCTTTATAATAATAATTTTTAAAAGAAATTTTTGCCTAAAGATTCTTCTATATTTTTTCTAATTATTCTTCAAAAATTTAGGTCTATGGACCATTTGGAACTAATGTTGGTATATGATGTGAGATGAAAGTTCAAGTTCATTTTTTCCGTATAGATTTGCAACTGATCCTGTATTATTTGCTAATATGACCATCCTTTGCCCCTGAATTGCAGTGGCACCTCTGTTATAAGTAAGGTGACTGTGTATGTGTGGGTCTCTTTCTGTGTTCTCCGTTCTGTACCATTAGTCTATTTGTCTAATCTTGAGCCAATGTCACGCTATCTTAACAATTGAGACTTTGTAGTAAACCTTGCTAACTGGTATTATAAGTTTATTCTTCTTTATTCTTGACTTTATTCTTCTTCTTTAAGATTGTCTTGACTAAGCTGGGCTCGGTGGCTCAGCCTGTAATCCCGCGCCTTTGGGAGGCTGAGGTGAGTGGATTGCCTGAGCCCACGGGTTCGAGACCTGCCTGGGCAGCGAGACCTCATCTCTACAATAAATCAAAAAATCAGCCGGGCGTGGTAGCACATGCCTATAATTCCAGCTACTTGGAAGGCTGAGGTGGAAGGATCACCGGAGTCCAGCAGGTCGAGGCTGGGTGGCCAGAAGCAGCCACTGCACTCCAGTCTGGGTGACAGAGTGAGACTCCAACTCAAAAAAAAAAAAAAAGACTGTCTTGACTAGTCTAGCTCCTTTGCATTTCATATAAACTTTAGAGTCATCTTTCCAGTTCTCATAAAATGTCCTACTGGGATTTTGGTTGGAATTACATTGAATCTCTAGGTCAATTTGAGGAGCGTTGACATCTTAATACTATTGAGTCTTTCAATCCATGAACATATAGTATTTCTTCATTTGTTTAGGTCATCTTTAATTTCAATGCCTTGTACATATTGATATAGATCTCTTGTACTTCTTTCATTAGATTTATTCCTAAGTATTT